GCAATAAAGGATCAGGTCCCTAAAGTAAAAGGCAGTATAGGGCTGTTGATCGTGGTCACAAAAAAACTAAACAAACAATGTAGGATTGCTGCACAATAGTATCCAGAAAAGAAATACTTGCAGATAGAAAAGAGAGGGAGTAAGCAGTATGAAATGAGGAGGTCAGTTTCAAATAAACTGACAGTAAAGTTTATAAAGCCTCTCTCCCTGTCTATCTATCTAGACAGGCATAGTAGCAAATAGATATAATCAGTGGTGTATCCTGGTTTTGTGCTGCCCTAGGCAGGACAAAACTCAGGCACCCCCCCGCTCCACCCCCACCCGCGCAACCGCCACCCAACCTTCCCCCCTGCTCCGCCTTCTAAATACACACACACACATTCACTGACAGATACGCATTCACTAGCTAACAGAAACACACACTCACTAACAGACACACACTCACAGGCAAACACACACACTAACAGACATCCACACTAACAGACACACACACACTAACATACATACACTAACATTAACATACATACACTAACATTAACATACACACTAACACTAACATACACACTAACAGACACAAACACTAACATACACACACACACACTAACAGACACACTAACATACACACACTAACAGACACACACTAACACACACACACACACACACACACTAACATACACAAACTAACACTAACATACACACTAACAGACACAAACACTAACATACTAACAGACACTAACATACACACACACACTAACATACACACACTAACAGACATCCACACACACACTAACATACACACTAACAGACTTCCACACACACACTAACATACATACACACACTAACAGACTTCCACACACACACTAGTGTTTTTTTTTATTTTTTTTATTTAACCCCCCCCAGCCTCCTTACCTTTGGTAATGCTGGGGGGGGTTCTTCCTCTCCCTGGGGTCCAGTGGCTGCAGGGCGGGCGGGCGGCCGGCGAGGGAGCTCTTCCCCTGAGCACTCTGCTCAGCTCCCTCGCGCGCCGCCAGCAGAGTGAGGCTGGGAGCCGGAATATGACGTCATCAACCCGGCTCCCAGCCTCACTCTGCTGGCGGCGCGCGAGGGAGCTGAGCAGAGCGCTCAGGGGAAGAGCTCCCTCGCCGGCCGCTCGCCCGCCCGCTCGCCCAGCGCTGCAGCCACTGCCGCCCAGCGCCCAGAATGTCTGTTAGCCGCGAGGCTAACAAGACATTTGCCTTGGGCATTTGGGGGGCGGCGTTTTTGCCGCCCCCTGAAAAATGCCGCCCAAGGCAAATGCCTTGTTTGCCTCGCGGCTAATACGCCCCTGCTTGTGTGTAGTGTTTGCCTTTGAACATAGGGTTGTGACTGTATTTAGTTTTGACATTTGAATGCATAAGTGTATTTGTGTGTAGTGTTGGTGTTTGAATGCTGAGATGTATGCATATATATATATATATATATATATATATATATACACTGCCACACACACACACTGATACACTGATACACATACACAAACACATATGCAGACACACTGACACATCCGGGTACACAGACAAACATGCAGATATACAGACACTCAGATACAAACACTGACACACATACAGATACAAACACTGACACACACACACACACACACACAGATACAGGCATAAGGATACACAGATATAAACTGACACAAATACAGATACACAAAGCACTGACACACATACAGACACACACTAACACATATACTAATTTGCAGACATGTATACTGACACACATGCAGATACACAGACAGACTAATACACACACAGCAATATAGACTGTGTCGGCAGATAAGAACCATTCAGCCCATATAGTCTGCCCACAAGGCTCAGCTTCCAGTGGGTAGACCTCTCCTACTACAGAGAGCATAGCAGGATAACGCTTACAAGAGCTAGTGATATAGCTGGTATAGCTGCTCCCTACAATCACGAAACAATGCTCCGTGTTGAGGGTGAAGCTGAAATGTTTACTGGCAGCCACAACTGGCCTTATATGCAAGTCCCCATGCAAAGGGCAATACCCCTTGGACCTGAGAGAAGACTACAGTAAAAACATACACACAATTACATTGGCTCTTAGGTCCAGGACAGTCCCACATAAAACAAGATAATCCCTCCTCTGTGTCTGGGAGATAATTGAGTCAAGCACTGTATTAAACTCAATTATCTCCAGGCACAGAAAAACAACATTTGTACAAAACCCCCACAGAAGGTTACATCCCCAAATAGCCCCAATCTGGGTGACCAACATAATCAGAAATCACCCAGATAGGTTCAGGGGTTTAGGAATTTCCTGGAAGTCATAATTTGACCGACTGCACACATGTGGTCGGTCTAGTTCGGTACTTTAAAAACCAAACAAACTACTGAACATAATTAATGTTCTCACCTTGTTCATTGGAACGATTCCACTGAAACAGTGCCCTTCTAAGTGGTGTAGAACCGAATGCAGGCAATCCTGGTGTTCGGAGTTTCAGTGTCCGAAAAGAGTTCCATGAACTCAACGACCAAACACCGCTTCGTACACTGTTCGATTCCCGAATCAAAAATATAATAGGCCACTCCAAGAACACGTGGCAGAGGCATTTCTGCCATACTTTCATTAGTCCCTGGCCTTATCTTAAGTCTAGGATAGCCTTATGCCTATCCCACGCATGCTTAAACTCCTTCACTGTGTTAACCTCTACCACTTCAGCTGGAAGGCTATTCCATGCATCCACTACCCTCTAAGTAAAGTAATACTTCCTGATATTTTTCAACCTTTTCCTCTCTAATTTAAGGCTATGTCCTCTTGTTGTGGTAGTTTTTCTTCTTTTAAATATAGTCTCCCCCTTTATGTATTTAAATGTTTCTATCATATCCCCCCTGTCTCGTCTTTCCTCCAAGCTATACATGTTAAGATCCTTTAACCTTTCCTGGTAAGTTTTATCCTGCAATCCATGAACCAGTTTAGTAGCCCTTCTCTGAACCCTCTCTAAGGTATCAATATCCTTCTGAAGATACGGTCTCCAGTACTGTGTACAATACTCCAAGTGAGGTCTCACCAGTGTTCTGTACAATGGCATAAGCACTTCCCTCTTTCTACTGCTAATAACTCTCCCTGTACAACACAATAAAACAAGTGAAAAAATGGCGCGATCAATGGTTATAAAATGAAAAATACAAAAAAGGGGAGAGCAGTACCTAAACAGTGTATTAGCCCAAAAAACACTCCTAACACCACAAAAAACAAACAATAGGTGTGCTATATAAAGTGCAATTTTGCTCAAACAACACAAAGTGCAGATTCACAGTGCAATGACATAAAGTGCTAAATTCGGTGAAAAACACTAATATACATGTACAGCAATCTGTGGGAGTAATTCACTCTAAAGTGCACAGAAAGGTGTAAGATGAAAAAACTTTTAAAGTGATATTGTGCAAAAAATTTATAAAACAACTTACACTAGCAGCAAATTCTCAGGTACATTTCCAATAATAGAGACATAAAAAAACTGAAAATCTATAGTGTAAAACTGTAAAATACACAAAGCATAAAAGTGTAGGTGAGGTAGGTAATAAACTCACAAACATTGAGCAAATGAGTATCTCTAACTTTCACAGTCTTAGTAAATGGACTTTCACTCCAGCCAGTGGAATAAAATGAACAGCCTTTATTTCAACATGGATAAAACACCAAAGCTTCCAATATCACCAAGGCCCTGGGGAGATAGCGCAGCTAAGCGGACAAGGGCACATGTAGGAGTGTGGGGACAGATGCATGGGATTGGTTGGGAAAGAGTGTGTGGGTGGGATTATGTTCTGTGTAAGTTAGTGTGGGGGAGGTCTTACCGCAGTGCCACTTGGGATTCGGGCCAGCAAACAGCTTCCTGCCCGCCCGCCCCCCCCTTTGTAGTTTCAGTTAGTCACAGCGAGCCGGGGGTGTGTCCTTGCCAATTAAGTTTGAGGGGTTATGTTTAAGGATGGACTAAGTTTTTATGTTTTGCAGGTCTCAACCTCCCCTGCTTCAAACGGTTAACATTAGGTTGCCTGAGGTGTCGTGCCCATCGAGCGTGGATAAGGTCGGCTGATGGCGGGCATTGGAAGGATTTTTTATGACGATGGGGGAGGTGAGAGGAAGTGGTGATTAGGAACCACTGTATGTTTATTGGCAAGGACGGTTGGGTCACTGTATAACACTATGTGTGGAGTTATATGTATATATGTTAATTTGTGATTACTAACAATTTGGTTACAGAAAAAGAAGAGATTTAATAAATAAAGTAATGGATGTGTTATGCAGTAATTTATTTGTTATAATAAATGCTGTGGCCTGTTCATCCATACTAAGTTGTCTGTCATTATTGGGGGGGTTGATTGGGGTTATTTATGTTTATGTGGCATTGTAATTCCCCACTACGTACATACATGTTCCCTTGTAGCAAAAAGACGGTCTTGCTGCTGGGTAGATGCAGTAGCCGGCCGGCTAAAGTGTCCTGCAAATTACTGTTGCAGCTCCGTTTTTCGATCAAGCTACTTCCAAGAGCTCCCGGTCTGGTGGAAGTCTGGTCCAGGCTCTTCCATTTCTAGTGGCATCTGGCTGAGTCTGGTGGAAGTCTGGTCCAGGCTCTCCCATTTCTCAGTTGTCATGGCTCTCACTACAAGAGGAAGCTCCTTTCTATTGTGTTCCCCCCCTATCCCCGATGCGGCTCATTGGCATTGTACTCACTTTCTCCCAGCACTGCATCATTACACTGATCAGGGGTCCAGTCATGCTGTTAAAGGGCCGTGGCACCAGACTGGGCCCCTGATGAAAGATGTCCATCAAATGGCCCTAGGTCAAACTGTTTTCAAACAGTTGGACTACTTAATCGGAGGGTGCCAGGATACACCTGGAACCATAACCAGTAGTGGGTCCTGTAGTGGTTATGGTTCCAGGAGTATCCTGGAGAGTTCCTCTAAAGTCACTTGAGTACTAAAAACAAAAAAAACAAACACACAAGATATTTAAACATTGCTAAACTTACCAAGTGTCATCCAGTATATATGAACCGGAGATAAACCCTGGGGAGGGTCACACCGTAAAACCACAGGTTTACCCTCTTCTACGACAACAGGTGGAACAGCTTCATTTGGAAATTTAGGAACCCCTGGAGCACACAGAGGAGAGATTGGGAAACATGGTGTTATATACAGAAAATAGAAGACAGTTTGCAGCTGAAAGTCCAATTAACCCCTTAATTATGGAGGTAATTTTACAAGTTCGAATTAAAAACCTGGAATTTTCGCTATTAGTCTGTACGACCATAATTCACCTCTTTCATATGAAGTGGACCCATACACAAAAAGTTAGCTTTCATTTTAGTTTTTTTTGCATTTTTCACAAACTGCCCTTTCACCGATGATATCATCAGCATTATATGTTCTTTTTGCTCAACAACAATATATTGGTACTCCGTAATATCTCACAAGTAAAACAGTACTCCCCACATCCAGGTTTCATATGGTTTTGGAAAGTTACAGGATCAAATATAAGACTTGTCCAGTTCTTTTTTTTGCACATTGAAATTTGCAAGATTGGTTATGTTGCCTTTAAGACCGAATTGTAGCCGAGGAATGAGATTATCTCCGTGATGGCATTGTAGCAGACCACAGGTAACCCGACTGGTTAAGAACAAGGGGGAAGAGTCAGCGCTAAATAACAAGAATAATAAGCAGCAACTCAATAAAACCGTGTAGCGGTATAATCCCCGCTAGAGGATATACTGGAGAGGTGCGTCCGTCACTCCGGCCTGGTTGATTCAGTGCTCCAAGGTATATAAAAAATACACAATTTAAAACCATTAACGCGTTTCACCTTTAAGGCTTTATGGTTTTAATTTGTGTATTTTAACAATAAAAGTCTTTTGGTTACCCTTTTTATGGGACCAATTTTCAGTTTATAGGATTTTATATGCACTTTGTATTATTTGTAATTCTACCTGGCATCTTTTATTGTATCCTGACTCAAGAAATCTTAGCTGGGGATCATTCCACCAACACTGTATTGATAGAGCAGTACCTTCTGCTCTATACTTGTGAGCATATTTTATATATATATTATCACTCTATCCTTTTATACTCATAGCATTATTGCTGTTTTTTATAGACCTTGGAGCACTGAATCAACCAGGCCGGAGTGACGGACGCACCTCTCCAGTATATCCTCTAGCGGGGATTATACCGCTACAAGCCCTTCACCCCAGAGCTGGTTAAAGCTCTCACAAATGTGAGTGTATTACCTTCCTTTTATCTATTTTACCATTGGATTTTACAATATTACACTATCGGCTGTTTGTCGTTTTCTCCTTTTGTCTCCACAAATACGGATATTTTATCAATCCGGACGGATCAACTCCCGAGGACTGTACCCCTATCTTATTCAGAAATATTAGTGAGACTTTTATATGACTTTTTATTAACCCCCACATTATATTGGATGGATCTATTTCTATTCTGTTGTTTAAAGTGAGATTGTTTATTCTCCACTGTTTCTTATTATCTACATGGGCCTACTTGTTGTTTATCCATTTAGACCATTTGGTCTGGTTTCTATTGTTTTAGACTACTCTTACTAGTCCTTAGCACAGCCCTTAACCCCTTCACAACCCGACTGGTTACCTCCGCTAATTCCCTTCCTTCAGCTGGTCAGGAACCATTTAAAGTGCACAGAGACCCATTTCCCCCCCAGTAACTGTCATGGAGGTATAACACGTTTATATTGTGCCACACTTGGCTTTTATGCATAACCCCATGCAAGGGATTCTTCAACATCCACATACAGGGTCACATCCCAAGCTTCTTCACCTCCCTGGGGGCCCAGCGCAGTAAAACAACTTTGTTCTCTTTGTCCTCAAGCCCACCACCCAAACACAGGCTTTCACACATTAGCTGCCCGGGAATCTTCTTCCCAGGAGCCTCTGTGCCTGGGAGTCCAGGCGCATTAAAAAGGGTCCATCATCCCTTTGTCTACCAGGCACAGAAAAGCCCTCCCAAGGGAAACGAGCTGGTCTCTTTCTCCCTGCAGGCACTAACAAGCCAGCCAACCTAGCCAGTGCCCCAGAAGTGTCCCCACCAACCTCAGGGATCCTCACAGCGGGACCTGTCTCGACCAGGCTCCGCACGCGAGGTCCCTGTGTGAAACCTGCAAGGGAAGCGTCTCCTTTCAGGATATGAATACTCCCTCTGGGTGGCATTTGTCTATACGAAATGGCAGCCACCCAGGGGAGCACTCATTAATTACTTCCCTTGCGGTTTCACACTTAGGTTGCGAGTGCAAACGTTTGGATTAATTAATGTGAACATTCTAATGGGCACCGGAGATGTCCTCATTTGGGAGATGAACGAGTCATGAAACAATCCATGAATGCTCCCCCTGGTGGCGTTCGTCGGTACGAATGGCGGCCGCCCAGGAAAGCACCCATTAACTGTTTTCCTTTGTGGTTTGACACCTATGTTGCGAGGTGTTAACATTCTAACATAACATTCTAAATGAAGTATTGGGGTGGTCCCCGTTCGGGAGGTGAATGAATTCCCTTTGGGGATAGCACTCCCAAACGGGGAGGGGGAACAATAAATTAATATACGGGGAAACACATGTAAAAGAAAGGGAAAATCCATGGACAGGCAGCGGTTCTGCCACAGGCATACCATTAGAAAAAGTAGACAACCCAAGGTATTCAAAATGGGGTATGTCAAGTGTTCTTTAGTAGCCACTTAGTCACAAATGCTGGCCATTTTTAGCATTCATATTTGTTTTTTAAATTTCACACAAAAACTGCACTTTTACTGATGATATCATTGTTGGATACATTTTATGGTTCTGAAACACTAGGATTTGTGTTCAGCGAAGTCTCCCAAGTATAACAGTACCCCATGTACAGGTTTTATGGTGTTTTTTCGAAAGTTACAGGGTTAAATATATGGCTTGGAATTTAAATTCTCAGGACTTTCTGCCTGGGTTGTCAGACAGGTCCCTCAAATAAATCGTAATTAATAAAATTACATATTTATATAAAAAAGATTTAAAAAATATACACATAGAATTTAAATATATATATATATATATATATATATATATATATATATACACACACACATACATACACATAAGAGATATGTAGCTTCTCAAGTGGTTTTTATATTTTAGCAATGTCATTAGCATTGATAAAGGACTACTGGCCGAAACGTTTGCTGTACATTCTCCTTCTAATAATTTGGTAGCACCAGGGTGTGCACTTTGATATCAGTTGTGCATGACTCCATTTTATTCCTTTTGCTGCCATTGTACACTGGTGGAACTACAGTGTGAAGTTGCTGCAGCACTGCTCTCGTCTCTTGCAGACCATTGATTTGCATCTACCTCACTTTTTATATAGTGATCAAGAAATAAATGCATAATTAAATGTTTTTATATATATATATATTGTTTGTGTATTTTGTCAGTGGAGTGTACCTTTAATCAGCCTGTCCCGTGCTAGATACCAGTGCTTCTCTATGTGAAAATAATTCACTTTTGCTTCAAACTATAGTTAAAAATGAATGAAGCAAGAATCCATTCTGCCCTGCATGATGTCCAGGAGGTGCTACTGTAAAATGGATCAAAGTGCTTTATTATCTTAAATTTGGCACTTTCATAAATAAAAATTTCAGAGACATTAAATTAATCCCTATGCACATCTGCAAACGGAGTCAGCATGGGGCATTACACATTGCAACACATGTAAAGCCCAATTTACCTGGAACAATGAATTTGGTATCTTCAGACATGGCGGTTCCCAGTGGATTGGAAGCGTAGCAGCGATACACGCCATCGTAGTGGGATATATTATCATTTGGAAGGATGGTGAAAGTCCCTGATTGGTCGCTGGTCTTTATGTTGGGGTCAGTGTACGGATCAAACTGCTTCCCATCCTTCGTCCACTTGTATCTGCAAAAGGAAAATGCATAGGGGCAGAATATCCAGATAAAATGCTTACAATGGTTTATATCTTGAAACTGAGCCATCATTTCCCAGGATTCCTTGTACTCTGTGTATTTAGGAAATACGTGTTGGTGAGGTTGGTGAGGTGTGAACAATAAAATTTACAAATCCACACTGCTGTATTTACCCCTATCCTGTAACTGGGCGCCTCCTGTCAATCATTTGTAAAAGCTCCACCCATTTGCTCATGGCAATAAGCTTAGAGTGAAGAGGACATACAAAAGCAATCAGGGATATTCAACTACAGTGGGAATCTAAGGACGAGATGGACTATCTGGAAACATTAGCCCCCATAAAGACAGTCCCAAAAAGCCACCATGTAGCTCCAGACCTGGTTTAAATTATTGTCCACGCATTTTACCTGCCAGCCAGTTATTCTGTATGAGTGCTAGCTTTCCAAACCTGTCTCTACTCATTACCGGATGCCACTAGCCCTCAAAACTAGATTGGTGTAAAGAAGTTAGCAGCTAAGTCCCTATACATCATATGGGAAAACCCATGTTGGATATATGGCATCACATTGAAACCCTAACGTAAACAGTGTTGGAGAATTCCTCTTGCATGACACCAGTAAAATGTAGTTCTTGGCACTGGGCAGGACGTTTTTTTTTAAAATCATTTAGCCTTGTCAAAGGCAAGCAGCAGAACTGCTACAGAAAGTGTGTGTGGTCTGTAACTCTAGCAGGTGCAGACCACGGTAAATGCTACCTTGTGGTCTGGCGCTCACTAATGAGTAAGAGTTCAGCAGGTAGTCACAACCTGTGTTCTGAATCACTGAGCGCCGAAACTGGGAGGGAGCAATGAATGTGGCCTGCACCTGCAGACCACATTATCCCACACAACCAAAGAGTTTTAACCCATGCTGGACTGCAAATGTGCATTGTCCCACTCTCGACAGAAAGATGAACAGGATGCAGGCAAAAATAAAGCAATGTGACAAACGTCCCTGTCCCTGGATTTTACAGCTCTTTCTTCCCTTCGCCTGTTTGTTCTGCGAAATACATCCACCACAAATGTTAACTTTGCCCCATTCGAATACCGAATAATCTACCGAACGCCAAACCACCCATATGCAGAGTGTGCCACTCGTTGACCCCATTAACCTCTGCTAACACCTCTGTAACCACAAGCACCTTAACATTCTAAGCGGTCAGCTGGGTGGTCATCGTTTGTATGTGTGAACACGTGGTGGCGGCCATCTTCGGACACAAACACAGAGAGCAAACGAACACCGCTGATACTTTCATTTCCAAATATGTTTGGTATTATTTATACGAACAAAGTGGCAACATCCCTCGAACAAAGTAGAAACATCCCTCGAACCACAGATACTCTGTGAATGTCTGCATGAACTGTTATTTGTACTGAAAGAGACTGACTGCACAGCCTAATTTCAAGGAACTATTTTGGGCAGGCGCCTTATGTGCGGTCGGTCTAAACTATACCCTGGTGGCGTTTCGGCTGTGTTCATGGGATCTGAGCGCTTTCAGGATATGTTGGGCACTCAGACTTAGGCTATCCTGGGATATTGAACTTGAAGGGATATCTCACTATTAAATATATATTTTAAGATATTTTTATTATGCTTGTTCTGGACCTGAGAGGCAATGTAATTATGTGTGTGCTTATGTTGCTGTCCCCTCTTAGGTCCAGTGGGGAATGTCCATGGAATGTGTCACCAGAAACCCCTTGCATAAAAGTCCAGCTGTGGCTTCCATTAAAGCAGTTCCAGTTTTACCCTCAACACAGAGCCTTGTCTTGTGTCTGTAGGGAACAGCTATAACAGCTATTTCACTGTGTTTTAGGATAATCGCTTCCAGGATTATTGCAGCTCTACTCACACTGGGGGAAACGAACATCTCTGATGGCGAAACCCCTCTTCCCATCGGGATGTCCGCCTCAAGCACCATCACACACACACAGCCAGCACACAACACAAACACATGCTACCCAGCCAGCACACAATCAGTGCACAACACATAAACACAAATACTGCTCACAGCAAGCATTTAACACATAAGCACACACACACACACACACAAAGCCAGTATAAATGCACACGTGCTAGACACAGATCAAACACATAGGTGCCAGCAGTCTAACATTTTACGGGACAGACTGACATTTGAGGGTACCTGTCCTGGATTGTGAAATCTGCGGGCCGCAGTCTTTCTATCTGAAATTATTTTCTCGATCAGAACAAGCAGCTTGTCATGTCATAGTCCCTTGGACAAGTAGTTTCTATTCCCCCGTTAAACCGTATCAAAAAGCATTATCGTTTAAAAGTCACACACTATAAAACATACAATTATTCTTTATACACGTAAACTTCCTGTTTAATTTAAAAAAAAATAATAATAATAATCACATAGCAGAAACAAACAACAAAAGGTCTGGAGTTATGTATCTGACATGGCGTAGAATCCTAGTATAGCTACTAAACACCAACTGTTGGTAACAGTGACAGCTTGCAACTGCTAGTCCCTAAGCTCTATTCTACTCCTTTGTCCTTCCCTTTCCCCCATTTTATCTCTCCTGCTTCCACACCCACTGGTATCCTGCCACCCAGCATCTAGATATACGGTCTTGTGTATTACTTGCAAATAGCGAGCATGTATAGCACTGACCACGCAGTTAAAATAAAATAATATTAAATCTTACACTGGAGCTGGGTTTCCTTTAGCGTTGCATTTGATGCTAAATTCTTCATCTACTGGAAATGCCACCTGGGACTCCTCGCTGACATCGACAATCACCGGCAACTGCTCCACTTAATGGGATAACAAACACCGTCATTAAAATTAACTTTGCAGAACATTTCTGTACAATAAGCTGCTTTAACCAGTAAATTAGACCACTTAATTGTAATGACTGTGTATTTTCACAGGTCCTGTTTGTAAGCAAGCAAATCAGGTGGATTACTTATGAAATGACAAACTGTAACGTGTCCAAATAAGCTAACACTTCCTGGTTAACCATCGCAGCATCACTTAGAAACATAGAATGTGACGGCAGATACGAACCAAAGGGGGCTGGGCAGAGAGGGTGTGTTTTGCCATAACCAATGACAAACATGCCCCCTCTCAAATTGAGCATGTTGGTTCAATGCTCTTCCAGGGCAGACCATGCGCAGAGCTCTGCCGAAGAGCTCTAGCATGAGAAAAAAGCCCTGTATTTATTCTGCACAGGGCAAGTAAATTTAATAACATGCTTTCACTGTGTTTCCTTGCAACTTGTCTCTGGTGTCTCTATAAATGGATACCAGGAGACAAAAGGGCCAGGAAAGAGTATTGCGCATGTGTTTGGAACCTGCTTGTGGGATTGCGTGTGTGTAGAGTGAGCTGATTGTGGTGTGGTATTGTGTAATAAGGTCGGTTTTAGTCGTGTTGTGCTTGTGGTGTAATGTAATGCATATGTGGCTAGGGGCTGTAGATAATGTGTGTATAGGGGATGTAGTAAGTGTGTGCATACAGGCTATAGTGTGTGTGTGTGTGTGTGTAGGTGATGTAGTGTTTGTAGGGGTTGTAGAGAGTATGTGTTTAGGGGTGAATGTGTTTGCTTACAAGGAATCTAGTGTGTGTATAGGGGATCCAGAGTGTGTATGTTAGAAATGTAGTGTGTGTGTATAAGAGTCTAGTGTGTGTTTGAAGGACCCAGAATGTGTATAGGAGATCTAGTGAGTGTGTGTATATAACGGTGTGGCAAGACCAATCTCACCACTGTGCATTGGAGGAGCCTGGTTGCCCGCCTGCTGCCTTTAGACTATGGCCCCATGTTGAAATGCTTAATTTTCCTCTGCAAAGACATAAAAGCCGGGTCATTCGGTGCTTGCCCTGTTTGAACGGTGATACCCCAGATAGCTATGCCATGGAGCCCATTCCTATAATGAAAGACTATGGGAAAGACTTTGGCTCCATGGCAATTGAACTGTATTTGTGTGCTCTGAACGCCATTCAGTAATAATGTGCGCTCAGATCTGAGCTATCTGGGGATATGTTGCATGTCTGTATTTTATGTAATAAATGTAACCTTGTGTATTTTATTGTATTTTACTATCTTTTTACTGCCATGTCCTTAATGGAGTTTTGCCTCTGTCCTTGGAGATAATTGGATTACTTCCCAATTATCTCCAGGATAGAAGACTCTGTGGAACTGGTTTTGGGCAGAAAAGCCATGCTTTATTTGGTCACAAAGGACTTCGATCTATCTTTTGAACCAATGGACCAATTTGTATGATTTTGACGTATGTTTGTATTTGGGGTATGCTGATTCTGAAAATGTTTTATGTGAATGTGATGCATACTTTTAAAGTTATGAATAATGTGGAAAAACTGTATTTCTCTGCCGGTGATAATTACATTACCCATCGTGTAAGGTAATTATATCAAAAGCAGCGGGGAGGATTTTGTGGGAGTGTCTGAGTGTATTGTATGTGTTTATTGGTTGTTTTCCAAAACCCTGTGGGTGGCACTAATGTGTATATAAGAACAATAAACCCACAGCTCTGTCTGTTCACTGCTTGACTTTCAACACGAAGCTTTTTTCTCATTCTTGGGGGGATTTACTGTATGCTGTTAGAGACTGATTGCCAGGAGTGTAAGCCGCTTGGGTGCTTTTCCTGTTCAGCTGCTAGCAGCTATTTGTGAGGTTCCAGTTCGGGAATTGGGAGTGCTACTTGGTATCCTGTTCGGGAGTTTGGGGTTCTGCAGTAGCTGTGCCTCTGGAAGGGGAAGATCTACTAAACGGCGGTTTAACCCTTTTATGCCTGGGAGTGCTGTTACAAATGGATTCAAAGTGTATATAGGGATCTAGTGTGTGTCTGTGTGTAGATGATCCAGAGGTGGGTAAGGGATCTTGTGTGTGTCTGAAATGTAAAGTGTTTAGGGGTGCAGTATGTGTGTGAGGGAAGCTGTAGTATATATTTATATATATATATATATATATATGTATTGTGTGTGTGTGTGGTGCAGCGTGTTGGGGGGGTTCTGTGTGTATGTGTGAGGGGTGTTGTGGGTGGGAGTGCTGTGTGTAAGGGTGCTGTGTGTGAGGGTGATGTGTGTGATGTGTGTCAGGGTGCAGTGTATGATGTGTGTCAGGCTGCTGTGTGTGAGGGTGCTGTGGGTGAGGGCGCCGTGCGTGTGTGTGATGTGTGTGAGGGTGCGGTGTGTGAATTTTAGAAGGGATTGTGTGTTGGGGGTGTAAAAAACAAACAAAAAATAAGCAGGCATTATATGCCCCCCTCCCTTCTTACATATAGCCTGTGAGGGGGGACCAGCACGGTGGTACCTGAGAGGTGCGGTCGGCATTCTTACACCATCCCTGGTGGTCCTAGTGGTGCTGGCTAGAGTTCACTATCGCGAGATGGGGGAGTTGCCATGGAAATGCCCCAGATCTCTCAAGATCTCTGCAAGATAAAGCTCCGCCGGGTCCTCCCCTCCCTCCCCAGCTGCATGTCTATGCAAGTGGGCCGGTGAGGGAGATATTTGATCTCCCCACTGGCCTGTCATGGAAAACAGCAGGGCCGGCGCTTGGATAGTGCCGGTCCTGCATAGACTGGCTGGGGAGATCCTGTGACCTCCCCTGCCGGCCTTGGCCCATGGCCTCTGCGGCCCACCGATGGCCAGTCCGAGCCTGCTGAAACTCCTTAACTGTGTTAACCTCTACCACTTCAGCTGCAAGGCTATTCAATGCATCCACTACCCTCTCAGTAAAGTAATACTTCCTGATATTATTTTTAAACCTTTGTCCCTCTAATTTAAGACTATGTCCTCTTGTTGTGGTAGTTTTTCTTCTTTTAAATATAGTCTCCTCCTTTACTGTGTTGATTCCCTTTATGTATTTAAATCCTCCGTCTTAATTTCACCACCTGCACCAGTCAGGACATAAAAAAACTATTCTAAGTAGTAAAAGTATAAAAGGTCCACCCCCCACCATCAGGTCTGCTTTTATTTATTTACTTACAATACTGTTCCGCAGCAAAAGGCAGGACATTTGTCAGTGGGTAAGATTATTTTTAAGCTCGGTCCCACGCTGTTGTATGGTTTATTGTGGGGATTGACCACTTCCCTCCTGTTGGACCCAGTAAACCGCTTGCAACTGGGCCAATTCCTCAAATAGTTTTAAGGACAAGAACACCAAGTTTCTTTGTCTTCCTATTTTTACATGGATGTCCTTGCTAATTCTAAATAAATGGATATAAATACCAGGGCTCTCTGCAGAACCCATAGTCCGTACTCTCTGCAGTCACTCAGAGAGCTGTCTTATCTCGTGGCTTCCAGTCCATCACTGCCACACAAGGCTGGATTCATCCTAAATAATACAACTATCTATCAATGCCTATAAACAATAATAATAAATAGGACTCACCTGAAAGTGGAATTTCTATAGCATTAGAATGGATTAGAAATGGTACTAAGCAGAAGAGGAGCTGAACATATACTGAAAACATGCTTTTGTGGGGATCCAATCTCCTGGCCTCGTTTAATTCCTGCAAGTTTGAGAAAACGTGTTCCCACATTAGGTAAAAAATGTATAATAGATCATTTTCTTTCTTTAAGATTAGAATACAACAAATTTGATTTATACGTAGGTAGACGTGGTAGCAAATGTAAAGATTTAAGAAAAAATACATTTAAAAATATGTTTTCTCTTCTCCCTTGTCAACCAATCCTCTTCAGAGGGCTACATCGACGTAATCACAGTATCACAGCAACTACAGGAATAGTTACTGAATATACAACTTCCTTTACTCTTAACAAAAATAAATACCCTGATCTGCTGCCCTAGTGGGAGTTAAAGTAACACTACACAGACCTAAAGCAGTTAGCTTGCTGAAGTTCTTTATGCATGAAGAGTGTGTCCTCTTTTTTTATTTACAAGAAATGCATATTTCAGTAAAAATCACCAACCAAAAATCTGTCAATCAGACAATGATCCTGTTACTTCCTGGTTTGTTTAGCTCAGTGGAGCAAAACTCAAAGGGCAGCAATTGCCCAGAGCACCGGCTTTGCAAAGACTTCTCATTGGGCTGCATTGGGAAGTCTGCGATTGGTCAGTCACAGAAAGTCTGGGCGGGGTTAGAACACAAAGTGGGTAGACTGTTGCGTGGAGTCTATCCTGGTGTTGGATAACAAGTACATTTATTGCTTTTCTTTAAGGAATATTCATTATAAAGCAATTTAACTTGTCCTCTTTTTCTTCCCCATTAAGTAAAAGTGCCGTAAGGGAACGATATTCCTTTCTTCCAAAATTACAGCATCCGTAATTATATTCTTCCCACCGTTCAAAAAAAATAGGATCCTTGGTTGGACTACACATCTACTTAATTAGGTGTTCATTGTTCTGTATCATTCTTCCCTTCTATACTATCCTCCACGTGCCTTATGTTTTGTCACTTTTTGTTGACTTTACAATGTTTATAATGACAGGGATACTAGAGACACCATAACCACTACAGCTTAATGTAGTGATTCTGGGTAATATCACATGTCCCTGCAGCCTGAGAAATGTAAACGCTGCCTTAAGTGAGTAAACACAGTGTTTACATTGCTGTCTAAGTCACACTCTAGTGGCTGTCACTCTGAAAATCAGTCACTCTGACAGCCACTAGAGGGACTTCCTGGGTACGGTTTGCAGGACCAATGTTCAGCATCTCAACACTCCCCATAGAAATGCATTGACTTAATGTATCCCCGTGAAGAGATGTCGATTGGCACAGCATAGCGATTGCGGCACATGCGTCCTAGCCCCCCAGTGCTTCCCTATGGGAAAGCAAAGGATTGGTTGAGCTCATCAGGATTATAGTCCCCTATAAAGCTGCATTGTCTCATTTGTACAACTGTGTTGTCTCATAAATAATGAATAGAATATATAAAGAATATAATATATATATATATATATATATATATATATATATATATATATATAGTTCTTTTGAAATGTCGATTTCAAAAGAACCAAAAACAGTCAATTTGGCTGGTTTTTCCAATTCGGGGTATTGTAACCTAAAATCTAAAAATCCACTTTAAAATTCCCAACAATTCACACTTTAGCAAAAAACCCTTTCATGGTTGAAATAACATTGTCATCTCTTCACCTGATCGAGACAGGAGCTCAGATCAAAGCAGGTCGTTGGATTCCATTAAAAGCCGGCCAAAGACGTCGAAGCGGCAGTTTCATGTGGACGCAAAATCTTTTAAACTATTTCATTCTTCATGAGTCTGAATAAGAGAGAGAAAACACACTGACACACTGAGTTGTTCCTGCTTGGTTTTAAGGTTACATTTACTTTTTATATTGAAATTATTTTAATATGTAACCCATGCATCCCTTATACCCAGGGCTGCCATCTGCCCTAACACAGTTCAAGGTCTGGGCCACCAGGGGTCAGCCTCCAAGCCTGCCCTCAGGGTCTGCCTTTAAAGGACCACTATAGTGCCAGGAAAATATATACGTTCAGGGTCCCACTCCCGCCCGGCTCTGGAAGGGGGAAAAGGGTAAAAACTTACCTTTTTCCAGCGCTGGGCGGGGAGCTCTCCGCCTCCGATCCTCCTCCTCTCCGCCCATTCAGCTGAATGCGCACGCGCGGCAAGAGCTGCGCGCGCAATCAGCCGGTCGCATAGGAAAGCATTCTCAATGCTTTCCTATGGACGCTGGCGTGCTCTCACTGTGAAAATCACAGTGAGAAGCACGCAAGCGCCTCTAGTGGCTGTCAATGAGACAGCCACTAGAGATTAGGGGGAAGGCTTAACCCATTCATAAACATAGCAGTTTCTCTGAAACTGCTATGTTTATAAAAGAATGGGTTAATCCTAGCTGGACCTGGCACCCAGACCACTTCATTAAGCTGAAGTGGTCTGGGTGCCTAGAGTGGTCCTTTAAGTTCACCCACAAGGATGCAGTGGGTGTAAATTGGACACCGTGTGTGTTAGTGCATGTGTGTCCACTTTACACACACTGTAAAGCATGGGTGTATATAAATATATGTGTGTGTATATATATATATATATATATATATATATATATATATATATATATATATACACATACATACATACATACATACAATAACATGCTTACATTGTGTATTTGAAAGTAAGCATGTTTTTGTATGTAGTATGTTTGTGAATGTTGGTGTTTGAGTGCTGGCGTGCATTTGTGTGTAGTTTATACACTTCCACGCCCACTGATACACATACATACACACTGACACACATGCAAATACACTGACACACCGATACACACGCACACACAGAGATACAGACAATCGGACACACTGACTCATGTTACACTCACTCATAGACACACACAATGACACATAGTTACACACACATATACCCACACAGATACACATACACTCAGATATACATTGACACAGAATACACATACAGACACAAACACAGATATATATACACACAATGACACACATATACACACACACTGACAAGAGAAGACACACTGATAAACATACAGATACAGGCACACTGACACATGTTACACACACAGATACCCAGACACTTATGTGCAAATTGACACAAAATATACACACACAAAAAGACAGAAACACAAGATACACACCCTGACAAAGACACACACACAGACATACTGACAAAGACGCACACAAACTGACACACGCACAGGCATACATATTGACACACAGACATACTGACACACTGACACACAGACATACATACTGACACAAACAAATACAAGTAATTTTTTAGCCTCCCTCCTGTTTTTTGTCTTTTGGGTGCAGGAGGGTGGCTGGGGCTTATGGGAGTCGGTCTAGCTCACCCCTCCTCACTGCCTCTGATCTGCCTCCCATGCAGAGAAAGCGGGGAGGAAGTGACCAGCAGTCACTTTCTCCCAGCACTGACTGTGGCTGACATAATGAAGGGGTGCCCAGATCATGCTATTAAAGGGCAGCAGAGCTGACCGGGTCCCTGTAGATAAATTTCCACTGGGTGTCCCCAAGTGCATTGGCCTCATGATGGGCCCCATCACAGTTACACTGCTACAGATAGGGAATGTAGGGCCCTGCCGGTCGAGCCCCCCAGGACTTCCAGGCCCGTGGAAACCATCCTGGTTGTCACCTCCTGATGTTTTCCATTTCAATATCAAAGAAAAACGAATTGTCTTTATGAAATACTCATAGAGACTGTGTTAGAATTTCAGTGAAATTCTAATGAAATCAAAAGATATACTGAGACAAATCCAACAGGCGGACATGGGGACGACTGCAAGGGACAGCTTCAGGGAAGTAAAACCCACCTTGCTCTGCGCCCCGCAGCCACTGCACCCCAAGTGGTGAAGTCACCATCGAGGAAAAATATGTAGACCCCAGAAGGTGACAGACTGAAACTGAGAATAATATTGTTATTGGAGAGTTCGGAATGTATTATCCTGTCAGTTTGCACATTCTATACAGAAGAAAAGCCAATCAGGTTTATTCAATGAGATTATTAGCAAATCAAAACCGAATATAAAATCTCAGGAAGAAATATCTAATCTGGAAATATTCTCCATCTCGGCCAGTCACCGTGAGGCTGTTTTTGCCTCAGTTTTGCATTTAATTCAGGAATATGCAGAGTTACTGAGTAAACCATCAGTCAGCTAAGCATAGGATGGGAACAGACTTGCAATGTTTAGAAAAACAGAGTACAGGAAGAGAATGCAGTATTAGGGAAGTAGATTGGTAGAATAGTATTCAATGAAGACTTAGTGTGGGGGTTTTTTGGAGTCATTAACAGTTTAGTTGATATGCTTTTGTGAAAAAGTTAGTTTTTAATGATTTTTTTAAGGAGTGGAGACGAGGTGAGCGTCTACCGGGAAAGGGAAGGGAGTTCTACGGGAACAGTGTAGCCCGAGAGAAATCTTGGATACGAGCATCAGAGGTGGGAGTACGAACATAGGATAGATGCAGGTCTTCGGCAGAGAGTGGGGGCCTCGACAGGACATACTTGCGCATTAGGGAGGATAGATAGGTGGGAGCAGCATGTAGAGATTTGAAAGCAAGAACCAGAATTTTATATTGAGCCCTATATCTTACGGGAAGCCAATGCAGGGACTAACAGAGGGGTGAGGCGTGGGAGGTGCGGACGGACAGGAAGATGAGCCTTGCCACCACATTAATTATAGACTGCAATGGGGCAAATTGGGAGCACGTAAGACCAGTGAGAAGTGGATTGCTGTAGTCAAGACGAGAGAGGACAGTGGCATGGAACAGCACCTTAGCCACATCTGGCATTAAGTAGGGGCGGATGCTGTGGTAGTTTTTCTTCTTTTAAATATAGTCTCCTCCTTTACTGTGCTGATTCCCTTTATGTATTTAAATGTTTCTATCATATCCCCCCCGCAAGTTGAGCTTAAGGAAGAGGGCAGCCATCCAGTTAGAAATAGCAGAGAGACAGTCAGAGACACTAATCAAGAGGGACGGGGAGAGATCAGGGGAGGAACGATAGATTTGCGTGACATCTACATAGAAGTGAGTTTACCAAGAGGGTAGTATAGATACCTATAAAATATATACACAATATATTCATAATAGTTTCCAATATAGTACAAATCATTTTATAATAAATGTAACTTTTTATTTTTTAGTAATACAATTTTCTTTATTTCCTGTAAAGGTTCGAAATACGAACCCACACAATGTTTAATTACTTTTTTTTTTTTTTTCTGAATGCCTTTAACAGCTATGACTGTACTGCCTAATTTATTTTCCTATGTATGTTTTGCAATATTGTGCTCACCGCAGGCAGTTCCTGATGAATGTGGATCACGTTTGAACTTGTTACCGTTCATTCTTTAGCAGTGATTTAAATAATCATCAATGTATGGAAAAAATATTCAGCATTAAAATTCTACCACACCTATGCTGAACGCAACTCCACCAGACCTCAAAGGGGCTTCCTTCACTGAATTGTAAAAAGTCGGGAATTCAAAGAGAATTCTAAACGTTCAGCTATATTGTCAGGTCCTTTACTTTACAACAAAGAAAATATCTAACCACTAAAAATACCTGTACAAGCAAACCTACTAAAGAAAGTATGTCCTCTAAAACACCAATACAATAATAAAGCAAAAACCAAACAAGTAGAAATGCAAAAGGAATGAAGTAATCACTTCTAAGGTGTAAATAGAACTATACAACCTTATACTCTAACAGCGTGGTGGACAATATCTACAAAAAGATATATAAAACGCACATAGAGTGATAAAAGTATAAATATATAGACACGCAGGATGTATATATTGAACTCACAAAATATAAGTGAATATCAGGCCCATCATCCTTAATCAGAAGTGATCTTCAGAGTTATATGGAACAAGTCTTCTTTAGCACTTGTAAAATAATGAAACCAAGAAATAGTGCAGATGGAATTAAAACTACAAAGAATTTATTACAAAATGCACTTACAAAGGTCCAGGTAAAAACAGCATTTAATCCACTATAAGGTGGAGATAAAAGTACAGCAAGTGAGTTCCCAATGTAGTAATCCAACGCGTTTCGTCCACTGGACTTCCTCAGGGATTGTAATCCTATTCTCCCAAAAGTCTTCGTTTTATTAAGCCGCCTAAATATCCCAATGAAATTCATCTGTGGTGTAAATCCGTCGCGTGCGTGTCATGCTGGAATGCACGAAGAACATCCGACGTCACTCCCGGTTCCGGTTTAGCAGCAAAATGTACTATGCATTCCACGCTTGAACGCAACAGCAAAATATTGAACGGACCAAATATTACATCCAAATAAGCATGCATTGAAGTGTCCTATCCAGAAGGGGCACACATCCAATATAAAAGTAAATATACAATTAGAAACCCTTATGGGGCAAACAATATATAAAATAAATGTATACAAAAGGAAAAATTATAAAAATATATAACACTGATGGATATATATGGCACAACTCAAATAGGACACCTCTTCCACAAATATAGCATATATATATAATATACAATATTAATTTGGAATATATAATATATTTAACATAGCAAGCATGCAAATAAAAATAAATAAATACAGATGAAAAAATCTATATAATAACAATAGTAGTCAATAATCGGACAATATTGTTGTACTCCAAAAAAATGTCTGAAACTTAAAAAAACTAATGTTAAACATAATCAAAATATAAATTATATAAAACGGAGAAAAAAACAAAACAAAATACCAACCATAGAAACAGCCCAAGAAATACACAAAAGGAACAATAAAGTAAATTGGAGTGGGGGGAGGTCTTGGCTATTTATATATTCTGAATTGATGTTAAATTAGGCGTGTAAGGTCTATGGCCATATGCAGGCCCTGTTTAAGAGTGCCCAAGTTATAGATTCATTGAGCTTTGTTTTTATTCAGTAGTATGGATCTATTCCCTGCTCTACAATTCTTTTCCACTCTATCAATCCCGATCACTATAAAATTATCCCATGAAAAGGATGGACATGAATTGCAGTGTTTAGGAACACTGTGTTCTATTTTATTATTACGGCTATTACAAAAATGTTCTGCCAGCCTAGTGTGTAATTTTCGTATTGTACGCCCTATGTATTGGGCTCCACAACCACATTGTAAGATGTAAATAACAAACGTGGTAGAACATTGAATAAACGTTTTAATGTCATATTTTTTGTTGGTGTAAGTACCTCTAAAATCATGTGTGGTTCTTTTCTGAAATTTACAGGTGGAACATTTTCCACAACTGTAAAAACCTTTAAGGTTAAGCAACTGAGTATCCACTTTCTTTTTCCGTAGTAAACTGGCTGCTGATTCTTTTAATTTTTCACCTTTTTATATATCACCATTGGTTTTTCTGGAATTACTTTTCCTAATACATCGTCTTTCTTTAATATATGCCAGTGTTTTTTCAAAATATTTTCCACTTTTTTGGCCTGGGAATTAAACCTGGTAATGAAGGCATATTCAAAACTGTTATCAGTTCTGTTCTTTTTAATCTACCATGGTTATTTAATAACGATTGTCTTTCTAGACTTTTTGCCTGTTCCTCATCTAAATTCATTTTATTCAGGTCGTAACCCTTTCCATAATATCTTTTTTAATAATTTGATTTTGTTCCTCAAACGTTAATAAATCTGTACAAATACGTCTTAAACGCATCATTTGTCCCTTAGGGACATTTGTAAGCCACGGGCCGTAATGTAGGCTGGATTTATTGATAGCTGTGTTACAGTCCGTACTCTTAAAAAAAAGTTTACTCTTAAGTTGTCCTCCTTCAACATAGAGAGTCCAAAAGGTCCAAAAAGTCGATATGTGTGGAATGTATCACTGATGTAAAATGTAAATTATAATCATTACAATTGATGTTATTTATGAAGGATATAAGTCCCTCTGACTGACCTTCCCATATTATTAGGACATCGTCTATGTAGCGTCGCCATAGGACAAGACCGCCCCCGGCCGCCTCGTCCACAGAGATTGGCAAAGCTCGGGGCGAATCTTGTCCCCATGGCGATGCCACATAGCTATAAAAAAAAAAAGTAGAGTCGAACCAGAAATAGTTCTTGGTTAATACAAAATTGATACAAATAATCAAAAAGTCTATTTGACATATATTCAATTGCTGTTTAGATACTAAAA